AGGAACTGAGGTGGAGAGAAGTTGGGCAATGTTCTGGAGGTGGATATTCAGGTAGCCTAAATACGGAAAGTCATCCCAGAACATCAGGGTCGCAAACAGATTGGCTTGATCTCAGACTGTTACCAGGGAGAGGGAAAGAGAAGCATTTGCAACTTTTGGGAGTGAAGTTTGGAGCGGGGACTGAAAGCAATGACTTCAGTCTTCCAGACTTCAGGGTGTGAGATAAGCATGAAGTCTGATCACCTTTGAAATTTTAAATTCTTGAATCTATCCTGAAGAGAGCAAAATATAAATCTTTGAAAGTCTGTTTCTTGTTTCAGCAATGCTTAGGTTCTCTACTACTCAGTGGCTAAATAAATAAAGTTGGACAAAGACGGCAAGGCAGGTGGGATTATGTAACTGCAAACTATAAGGGTGAGCCAAAGACATGTATAACCAGACAGCCATACTCACACTAAGTGACTGCAGAGCAAACAACTTTGGTTCAGAGTTCCTGAGCTGGAGTCAGAACTGCAGGCATTCTGGAGAATCATGGTTTGGGTGGGGAGAGATACTTGAACATTACACAGAGGGTGGTTTGTGTGCGGAATTAACTTCCAGAGGAAGTGGTGGATACAGTTACAACGTTTAAAGACATTTGGATAAGTACATGAATAGGAAAGACTTGGAGAGATATGGGCGAGGAGCAGACTAGTTTGGTTGGGATTAAGATCGGCATGGACTGGTTAGACCGAAGGGTCTGTTTCCATGCTGTATGCCTCTATGACTCTATTAGGAACAAAGGAGAAGTTAAAAGAGGTGGTAATGAGCTAGAGATCAGTGATGTGAGTGCTTGGGATAATGTAGTAGTGTCTCTGCCTCTAGGCCAGAAGGCCTAGATCCAGGAGCACCCGTACTGGAAATGTCTCAACATGTATGAACAAGTTGAGTCAAAATACTTATTTATGAAAACTAAGCCTTCAGATGGTGTTATCAAGGGGTGGCTTAGGAATGAAAAATTTGTATGGGGGACAAAGGATTGATCGAAATCAATAATTCCCACCCCCTAATCAGAGCCTTTTTTCCTGAATCCAAGTGAATGTGTCCAACAAAAATTAAAAAATCAATTTTTCATGCCCTGTGATTTTTTTGATCCATATCAACACTGCCGTGGAATTTAGTCTTCAATTGCTACAGGCTCTGGGCAATCCTGAAAGGGGGATAAAGTCTAGAATCTTGTTAATCTAACACTAGAACTACATTCTCAAATGTAGCACAAAAGCAAAATAATGTGGGCACTGGAAATCTACAAACAAAAATGGAAAATGTTGAAAATACCCAGCAGGTTTGACAGCATCTGTCCAGAGAAGAAAAGCAATGTTTTAGGACAATGAACTTTTTCTCAGAACAAGTTCTGATTCCCTATCTGCAGGCGCTGCCTAAGTGCATTCACAGAATTTATAGTCATACAGCAGGCCTTTCGTCCCAACTTGGCCATGCTTACAAAAACAGAAATTGCTGGAAAAGTTCAGCAGGTCTGGCAGCATCTGTATAGAAAAAAGTCACAGCTAACGTTTCGGCCTGGTGACCCTTCCTCAGTCCACGCTTACCGATTTCCTAAACTCAACTAGGTAGTCCTATTTGCCTGCGTTGGCCCATATCTCTCTAAACCTTTCCTATCCAAGTACTTATTGAAATGTTTCCATTGTAGAAACTTCTTTCCTGAGATAATTCCTAGTCTTGTTTAATTATTATCTTATTGGGCTGTAAATACACTCTATTCCACATCCACAAAGACAAAGGATAAAACGCTGCATTAAAATTTGACTAATGCAGGGCTAAACCATTTAAGCAAAAAAAAAGTTAATGCAAGTTGCACTTAATTTTTTTTGGTGCGAATGTTTGGCAAAAAATTGTAAATATTTTGCAGTTCGGATCATGTGGAAAAGCTGCTTGTTTTCCGAGTATGCAAGATTAAAATTGACGGGATTGCTCTGTAGGCGGTTCCCTGTATACTTTGCAAAACGGGGCAGTGTTGATTTCCGCGTTAAACAAAAAAAAGGACTCGTGTGTGTGTCCCCGTGACTGTCGACTGGCACTGCAGCCGCCGGGGTCTACATGTGTACGGGGTTGCATAAAGGCGAAAAGGATATGAGAAAACACTGGTTGCACAAGGCAGTTGTTTTGAAACAAAAACATAGTTCCAGAAAAGTTATCGTCGACATCGCAATGCGGTTAAAATGCTTTGTCTTTTTTTTTAAAAAAAGTATGTCAAGTGCATCGTACATTGTGGAATTGGGTTTATACAGATACTTTTACCAATTTGACTGCACATGCAGAATGTAAATCCATCAATGTATTGGCGGGGGGTTGGGTATTGGAGGGTGGAGAATAATCACGTTGCAATGCAGAACACAAGCGTGTGGGCTTGTTAGAAAGAGGCTGATTTAAATGTAGGTCATGCTGTCGGATCCCTGCTCCTGCTAACCTACTGTTGGCGTGACTTGCATAAAAAGTCTCGTCAACATTGAAGCATCGGGGCTGATGCTAAAAGCAGTCCAGCCGCTAAACGCTAGGTTTCACTTCCACAGCAAAAAAAAAACCGCACTCTAAAGAAATATTTTGCAGCATTCTTGGGCGAGTTGCCCATTTTTTTTTGGGGGGGGGAATAATCTCTCAGGGAATGCACGAAGGTCAGCATTCTATATTTCAATCGCTTTCTGTGGCTCTTTTTCGCCAATGCAGATAGTGTTTTGGTCATTTTTTCGTGGGTTTCCTGAAAGAATTTCAACACTGCCGTCAATAATAGTGACTTAATAATAGCGCCACTCAATGACTTGACATTAGCGAACAAGGGCCTTTTAAGGAAACTTTGTGTGTGAGCGGTGAACGCTGAACACCCGCACCTCCCCCCCCCGCCCCCCTCTCGTTTAAGACATTTTCAGAGGCACAGCCTGAGATTGCTACTTCACACGTGGCCCCTGCATGTGCGGTGACAGTGCCTTATGCGCCAGTTTTCCCTACAAGTAATTACAGCAGCTTGCTGCAAGACGTAGCCGCTCCCAGAATAAAGAGGGCAGTGGGCGTTTGGGCACTGATTCACAGCTGAAATCAAATCGATCTTATTGCCTCACTTTCTGAAACCCTTCATTAAATCAGGGGCTGGTCCGCAAATGTTGCAGATTTGTCATTTTGTTAGGGTGGATGAATTCGGTAGGATTGTTAAAACCACACGAAACTTTAGTACCATTAACATGATGATGAAAGCTGCTAAGGGCACAATGACAACATTTCAAAGGCATAGGGATGGGTATATGAATAAGAAGGGTTTGGAGGGATATGGACCAAATGCTGGCAAATGGGACTGGATTAATTTAGGATATCTGGTCAGCATGGATGAGTTGGACCAATGGGTCTGTTTCAGTGCTGTACAACTCTATGACTAGTCTTGTCTCTATAAATCAAATTATTGATTTGGCCCCTGGGACCTCAGCTGCTTCCCTTGGATTTGTTTTTTTTGACATTTTTCTATGCAATTTTTCTGTACGGTACCTTTAATTTTGTCACACACAATTCATTTCCAAATAACTTCAGTTAAAATTAAGTGCTAGAAAGCATTGTTTTTAGGTAACCTACTTTTAAAAGATAGGTTAGTGTTGCTAGATTAGCCACACCCCAGCAATAAAAGAAGTCAGCCACACCTCCCATTGAAATATCTTAATCACCTTGTGTCCCATTCTACAATAGTGCTGTGTCATCAAGCAATGGGGCCAGGAGTTGACTGTGTTCTTCCAAACAGTCCCAACAAGGACCTTATCAATCAATTTGTAGTACGTTGCACAGACTATAAAGGATCAGAGTCAGAAGCCGACTCTCAACAAACTTTAAAAAGTGTACAAAACTGGACTACTGCTCCTTCCTGAAAATGTGCATTCACTGGCTTAGTTTCCTGTACCAGAGAGCTGTCCACAGAGAGGTCAAGTTGAATAATGCTTCACTCCCACAGGTGATCTAATTGATACATATAAAATTTTCTTAAGCTTCAACAGGGTAATGCTGAGAGGACGTTTCCACTGGCCAGAGAGTCTAGAACTATAGTCTTGGAACAAGGGAGTCCACCTGCTGAAGGAGCGATGCTCTGAAAGTTTGTGATTTCAAATAAAGCTGTTGGACTATAGCCTGGTATCACATGACTTCTGACTTTACTTAATATTGAGATGAAAAGTTTCTTCGGTGAGGTGGTATAAAACTTTGGAATTCTCAGGCCCTGAGGAGAATAGACGCGCAGTCACAGAGTTTGGCCGAGACAGAAGTTGATTGTATTGTTTGGTTCGTAAAGGAGTTGGGAATAGGGCAGGGATGTGAAGTTGAGTTAGAAGGTCAGGTTAAGACCTTATTAAATGGCACAGCAGGTTCTAGAGATTCCAGATCCTACGTTTGAACTGTAAGTTGATGCTGTTGCTCATCACTTATCCCCATACTCCAGGGACTGTGACACTCATGGAAGAGTAACACCAAATTAATCTATATTAGCTCTCACATCAATCTGAAAATTCTGGGATTATATGTCACAGCAGGACCCAAAAGGAAGTTATCTAAACTAGTTACAGCACAGCAGTAACACATTCCCTCATGTAATGTGCATGCCCACACAGGCAAACAAGATTGCTCACATATTTTTCAGAGCATTTGGCTCAGCCAACATTCTTCCCTCAATCAACACCATTGCAAAAACTGGCCTGGTAAACTGATTGTTTTGTACAAAGTATCATGACAGGATCACCAGCTCTGAAAAAGTTTAGAATGCTCAGAGAACATAGAGTACACTATATAATAGCAGAAGATCATCTTCCTAATTATTACTTACAAGAAAACTACTGGACAAGTGCAGAGTTAGGAACTATCGCTGATTTCAACAGTGTCACCCAAGAATAGCTTTACTTGCAAGCTCACAAGAAGATTTAAATGTATTCTGGATATTGAACATAAAACAGTTCTGTGCGAGCATGAAGCAAGTTTACTCGAGGAACGTAACAGGAGTACAGAAGTTACCTGCCATGTTTATTTTTGCATCCACCAAAACATAAGTTACAACATTTAAACTGGAGGCTCATTTAAAATAAGCCTTGAACTACACGGAAATTTTCCTGGAAGGCTCACCTAAACACTACCTTTCAGGATTTGTGTGTTCATAATGTGCCCTTGGTGATTGTGCTCATGAGAAAAAAAAAATCTCATTAAGCATCCAGTGATGATGCATCAACCACAGGTTGGGCACAGCAGGAATCTCAATAATTCAAAGCATTTCCTCCTTCAATAAAATTTCAGGCTCTCAGATAAAGCCACTACCATTGGAAATGTCCATTCCTCCTTTTGAGCAATACAGTCTATTGATCCCCACTCTCCCTTTCTTATTGCTGTTGCTTGAGGTTTGTATCATGATTTTACATCTACTGGATTCTGAGCCATTTAAAATTAAATTTCACTTTGAAAATTCCCCTGGGGTTCGGCTAGACTCGAATAGATCCTAGTAGTGAAAAAGACCCAGTTTTCTGTAGTCTGTACTATTCCTCTGTCAGCCGAAAGGCCCTCTGTTTTCTGTCTTGCTGGGCTGAAACTCACCATGGGTTCCAAGCGAAAGGGCAGCACACCACCCACTGTGAGAACAAAGACATTTACATCTTCTGCTTAACTCAGTTTCTAACCCAAGTCCCAGGAAGGAACAGTGGCCTGTCACAGTGAATTAGCCAACACTCTCCCAGGCTACAAGGAACGTTGGCAATTTTCAGGTCTGAACAATGGGTTCAGAGAACTGACAAAAGGGATACCGTCTCTTTAATGCGTTGGTTTAATCAACTTGTGAGGGCAGGTATTATCTGAAAAAGAAACACAAATAACCAATTCTGAGGAAGTAGAGCTGCTTGCAACATTTTTTTTTTTACATAACACAAACTTTTTTTTAAAAAAGGTGCAAGATTGCTGTACAAGATCTCAAATCTTTCTGTACACGGTTAAATTTGCAGAATGAACTAAATCAGACCAGAACTCTGTCTGAATTCAACAGACAAATACAGGAAAAATAACTGATTTCACTTCAGTAAGAGAAGTGAAAGTATAAAGGCAAGAGACGAGACTATTCAGTTATTGATACAGTGACGATCAATTATAAACATCAATATAAACACTGAATGAGATCAATCAGGTGTGTGGTCCTTAAGAAAACCCACAGAGCTCTCTGCCGGTTGGCATCCTAAGTGCTGGCTTGCAGTACAGTTTGCAACTCGGCAGTATACAAGTCAAAGTTTGTCCAAAGCATCTATTTGCGGCATGTTCGATGTGGCGTCTGTTTCTTCTGTATGTCTATCCTGCATCTGCTGCGTTCATCCAACCATGGTAACTCAAAGTTCCTGCAGAGGAGGACGACGACAGTTAAGTGCCAGGCTGATTTACTTTGGAATTATACAGGTCTTCTTTCCAAGTGAATTTTTTCCCTCCTCTCCTTAAGAAAGAGATGCTTATTTTCAAATTGCTGACTGTACCTTCCAGAATATGATTGTCTTGAGAGGCATTGGCAATCACAGATCACCAATATCAGCCCCAAAAAAAACATTAGTGCAGAAGGTGGGAGATGCCTGGACCCAGGTGATTTAATTTGAGATGAGGGGGGAAAATATATGGAAAACATAATTTGTATTTCTTGAACTGAAAACAATATATGCTTGAGATCACAGCAGGTCAGATAGCATCCATGGAGACAGAGCAAGCTAACGGTGAGTCTAGATGAGTCATCTATACTCTTTCCACAGATGCCGTCTGACCCACTGATCTCCAGCATTTGTTGTTTTCAGTACAGATTCCAGCATTTGCAGTTATTTACCCCCACATTGCATATCTTGAAACCAGTTTTCATTAACACTATTCAACTGATGTCTTTTGAATGTTCAACTGCATTGGAAAGTAGTAAGAGAAAACAACTGGAACATTTTACGTGTTCAAAAGAACTATTTCTATAAACGAAGCAGATTTAGATGAACAGGGCGAGTTGGCTGATCAACCTGATTAATCCAGAAAGAACTCATCTACTTATCTTAAAATGATTTGAGATGATTTTTCTGCATCCACCATTCTACCCACTGGTCCATTCTGTACATTCATCAAAATGAGTGAAGGATTTCTTGGATACATCAGCTTTAACTTTGCCTTTTGATTAGTTTGATCTGTTTTGCCAGAGTTTAATTTGTATGTTATACTTAGCTTTTGTATACTATCTGCCATCTTACATATCTGCAAAGTTGGTTCATTATCTGAACAGCAAAATTTGTACAGTATTTTCTGTTAACTATGATTCCCCTAAAATTACAGGATTTCATTTCCTGACTCTCCTCTGAAAGAGCAAATATCATATACAAAATAGATTTGGGCTTTCCCAATCCAAGTATAAAATATTGCAGTCCCATAGCACAGATCGCCATTAAATGCCATTCTCAGTAACAGATGATGGCTAGCGCAAGGACTGGGAACATAGCAGATTAGGGAGTGAGTTGTTGTGGGGTAGAGAGTAGAAAGTTTTATTCTTAATCTTGATCATAAAAATATGCATTTGAACATTCAATGTACAAATAACTCAATCACAATGCTGGGTTCTGAATGAACATTACAGCACGTCAATGAGAAACTTACTGTTGTGATAACTTAGGTAGAGGTCTCCCAAAAGCCACCACCGGTAGAAATGGGGTGATTACCAGCGATTCCACTACGAAGAAAGGAGAAAAGAATTATTTATTACGATTATGCACTGAACAATTTTGATCTCCCATTTAAAAGTTAAATTTTCTGGGGGGAGAGACACTTAAGTTTCACAAAGATTTTGATCCCCAGAACTGGAAGTGAGTGGCCCATTTGTAAAATTTTTCTTTGCAACACATTTAAGAATTGATATTATCTATTGCTGTTTGCAATTCACAGTATTTAAGCCTACCATCATCAGGTTCAGGGAAAAAGGACAGGATTTCTGGCTCCGATTCCTGAATTCCTTTCTTTTTATACATGCGCAGTTGCAAACGTTGTAGCAGCCTTTGTTCCCTGATCCTCTGAATGTCCCACCTACAGAAAAAATAAAGAATGATATAGAAGTTACAGATATCATCAGAAGGGCACACAATTCTAATGAAAGTAGTTCCACAATGTTCTGCTGCACCTGGAACTGTGAAATTTGCCCCACTTACACTATAGGATAAATTCCACATCACCAGCTCCAGGAAACGATAGGTACACAGTCAGAAAAATTAATAGAAGCAGCTGCTGAGTTCTTCCATTTATATTAACTGCTGTCCTGGAGGACAATCCTAGAAAGCTAAATTCCATCTAGCAGCAACAGAGATAATTCCTTCAGATTAAACTGCTGTCATTAAAATCCAGGCTGTAACAGCAGTGCTGAAATACTAACTTTAAAAATCTCAAACAATTAAATGGGCTAGCCAGACCACGCACAGATAAAACTAGCTCTCAGTTTTCTTAGTGCATTCTAAATGGCAAACCTCAAACTTGTTTGACTTTCTGCAATATTGAAATCTTTAAAATCCACTGAAGTATAATGAGTAATGGTTGTACAGGTGAATTTTTAAAGATTGCGATGTACAATGTTATTTTTAATACAAATATTCCAGTTTTTTTTTTTGAAATGACAAATTGTTCACATGTGATCATGTTGGATTCAAAGTCCCTTTAAGTGTGTGGAAATAACCTTCTCTGGAACTGCTTTGATAAGTAGGACATTAGAATTAGGGCTTTCCCTTATCCCCAGTGGATAATTGTACTAGTTCTCAGCCAAGCCTCTAGACTGTGTCTCACAATTGGAAAGTATTTCATGTCAGTAGGATAGGAATGTTATCTGCCTGAGAGAAAATAGGCATCACCCTGCCTCTTAAAGCACACCTTCAATCTTTTGAGTGAACATGGAACTTAATATCAGGGAAGTGCATCCTGCTTTCCAGATTAGAGATCAGCATGGATGTAAAAATAATAATGTGGTACTAAAAAAAACTTAAGTCCTATTGCCCCAAAAAGTATTTTATTACAATTTTTAAAAAGCATTATATTTCAAAGTTGCAACCTGCATAATTACATTAACATTTATAGAAAACAGACATTTCCTATTTGGTAGGAAATGGAATTCACCCCACTGTCTTTAACCTATGATCCAAGAAATCTGATGAACCCTAGTTGAAAATGGTGAGGCCTGAACTCCGATGTACTGTTTCAGTACACATGGTCATGTTTGTGAGAAATAACAATTAAATCCAGTTCACTGGCATTAGCTAGTCAATCTCTTTAACCTTGCTACTTCTTCAATTAAGCGAACAACTGGCAAAATTAAAAGCCGGTCCTAAGATTGGCAATGTTCCTTTTATTATTTAAAGCTAAGTCCTCAGGTACTGAGATGTCAATTACCTTTTCCTTCTTTTCTCATCAAGCTCCAGTTTTGCATGTCGTTTCGCAAACACACAGTCGTCTAAGTTCTAAAATAAATAAACTAAGTTAGTGAACCACTTCACTTTTAAAGCACAACAACTAATAGTCACAGATTTCTATACAATTTCGTTCAGCCAGCCTGTTGTGATTGTAGTCAAGTTGGCTGTGGATGAACTCTTTATGGGTGTAGCCTGAATGGCGGGGTGGAAGAGAACAAAGTAACAGGAACATCTGCTTGGCATGGGAAGTGTTACTATTAGCAATCCCTGCTATCCAAACAGACATTTACACGAGGTGATACCAGTCATCTTTAGAATTTAGTTAAATTCCTCTTCATTGCGTGCACACAAATGTCACAAGTGTTTCAATTCCAGGACTGATTATAATTTTTAATGTTTCATCACTTGAGATTTCTATAGTCAGCTTCACTAAGATAACCACAATGAACCAGTAGTTAAGTCATTTCTCCTCACATTCAACTCTGGATATTTCAGTCACAGGTTTCCTCAATAACATGCAGTTTTTCTAAAATATACGCTCATTGTTGCATGGGAGTCTCAGTACGTGGAGATCATTTAGTGTCATTTCAATTTAAAAACAAAAATTGAAATGGCATGACATTAATTTGAGAGAGATTAATTAATATTTCATTAGGTAATCCCATCTGGGCATTCCTGTTCTTGACTTCTGTACAGTTCACTCCTTTGGAGAGATCAGGCAAGGACAGACCTATGGACATTGATGGACAGCCATCTGGCATTCAGCACGAAGCATCCTCTTTGGGGAGAGAAAGTGGGCACTGTCTGTGCAAATGTACCCCAATGATGGATTTATTGGCTTCAGGAGCAAGGTGAGAACAGTTCGTGGTGGTGGGTGATGAGAGAGCAAAAGGAAAGAAAAAAATCATTTGCTACTGTAGATGACCACAGAATCAATTACAGTCGATTATGATAATAACGCGATAGTTCCATGTTTGTGTGATCTCGCATGGAGAAAATCACACAATTGCCGCGCCATTTAAAATAATGGGGCCGGATATGCATTATAGACAATACAGGTAAGGAAAGTTCATGTTCTACAAACAGTGGTCTAAATTCTTCAATCGCACTAAAGCCAATTCACGTTGAAGAAACACGCGTTGTAGCAGAACCGACTGTATACGAGGCTTTGGAAACCAAAGCGTTGTCACCTCAGGCAACATACACCAGTGTGGTAGCCCTGTAAAAAAGAACTGTTCTGAAGAATGTTATATTGCAAAATGCATTGGCTAAAAGGCATATAGATTATTAACATTACAATACACATTTATTGGTCAAACATTAACAAGTTCAGGACATTACGACATTCCAGTTCCACTTGCTGCACCAGGTATTATACTTTATGGAAACGCTTCATAGAGATATACAGCACGGAAACAGACCCTTCGGTCAAATTCATTCCATGCCGACCACATATCCTAGATAAATCTAGTCCCATTTTCCAGCATTTGGCCCATATCTCTCTAAACCCTTCCTATTCATGTACCCATCCAGATGCCTTTTAAAAGTTGTAATTGTACCAGCCTCCACCACTTCCTCTGGCAGCTCATTCCATACACGCACCATCCTCTGCATGAAAAAGTTGCCCCTTAGGTCCCTTTTAAATCTTTCCCCTCTCACCTTAAACCTATGCCCTCTAGTTTTGATTTCCTCTACCCTGGGGAAAAGACCTTGTCTATTTACCCTATCCATGCCCCTCATGATTTTATAAACTTCTATAAAGGTTACTCCTCAGCCTCCGACGCTCCAGGGAAAATAGTTCCAGCCAATTCAGCCTCTCCCTCAAGGTCAAACTCCCAAACCCTGGCAACATCCTTGAAAGGGTTCAGAAAAAATTACAAGTTTCACAACATCCTTCCTATAGCAGGGAGACCAGAACTGAACACAATACTCCAAAAGTGGCCTAACCAATCTCCTGTATAGCCGCAACATGAGTTCCCAACTCCTATATTCACTACACTGACCAATAAAGGCAAGCGTACCAAACGCCTTCTTCACTATCCTACCTTCCTGCGACTCCACTTTTAAGAAACTATGGACCTGCACTCCAAGGTCATAATGAAGACAAAGAAAGGCCCAGGGTCTGCTGCTGAAATTAACACTAACATAATAAGTGATAAGTTCAATATTGGCACCGCAAGATCATGATCAATGATTTCACCATGAATGAGAGCCCTTCTGCATTATTAGGAACACCCACTGGTGGTTCCTAAAATTGTTGTTTTGATTTCCGAAAGTACAACTCTGAAAAATGCACCAGTGAGATAATCTACATGCTTTCCCTTTCTTGTTTAAAATGTACGAAGTATGAAGTCTAAATGTATGAAGTTCATTTTTGAACCAAAAGGTGTTTTGTCTGATATAACTGATCCAGATGATTTGGTGATACAGATGCTCCCGAAAAAGCAGATATCTTTTGACGTCAATAGATGTTTTCTACCACAAACTGGAAGAAAAAAATATGATATCTGAAGTACTGTCAAGTTCCTATAAAGCACTGCAGTTTTGTGCAGAGTGCAAAAACACCTTAATTCTCAGCTTATGGATGTAAGCAGCCTATGACTATCACTGATACCCATATTACGATCATGGAACAATGGAAAGTGACACTCACCGCTCAGGGACTTTTTATAATCTGCCTGGGTTAAAACATTAAAATTATCAGGTACAGGAACATTTAACAAAGCTTAAAAGGAATCTTATTCCACTTTCAACAAAAAAAATTGATATTTTCCTTTAGCGTTTCTCTAGGCAGACTGAAATGAGACCCCCCCCAAAAAAGGACTGCTTTATTGCTTACAATGGCAGACATTTTACCTCAAGGATATTTCTTGTGTCATGTTGCAGCAGCATATTCCTGCCACTAGAGGTTCTCATAGTTATCTTTGGAAATAGAATTCCTTCACTACCAGGTGAACAATCCTGTTGCATTGCAACATTACACAAGTATCATGGACCTGGATATTGTTGACTGCTAATTTTGGGAATCCAAACACAACTCCATTTTCATTACATAACATGACTTCAATCTGTGTCAAGTTTGATTTGGTACATGATATCATAAATGATGGAATTTCATATATTTCACAGTGAAAATGCATATTCTATTTATGTTGCAAACATTGAAACGAACAACAAAAATAAACACCTCCAGTGGCAGCCAGTTACATTCCCAATAATGACTGTGCCTGGTTTCCATTCAAATGGCCACAGGATAATGAATACATTCAGACTGCCAACACTCAGCTCCCTCTGCCAAAGCCACTAAAATGGTGGAGTGTCTGCACTTAAATCACCTCACCCCAAATAGAGCAGCAACCTTTTAATTTTAGATCAATTATGAAGGAAGAAGATGAGAATAAACATGCGCTAATGCAAGCCAAGAAAGAGGCTGCCATCACCCTCTTGTTCACAGCAAGCTGCCTAGTACACTTAGTTAAATATCTTCACTGCTATTTACATTGCATGGTCCGTGGCTGGGGATTAGGGAAGCAGTGGACACCAAGCAGTAAGAGGAAGTGATTATGCATATACTGATGAGGAGGCTCAAAGCTGGGAAGGGAAGTACCACAGCTACTCTTAAATTCTCAATGGTGCATTGCCCTGTACAAATGTTCAATGTCTACGTATCTGTCAGAAGTTAATCTTATGATTTTCCAAGATGTTTCAGAAATTACATTTCTTGTTCCAGAAATTCTCATTTTCAACTAGATTCAACAGCTTTCAGGTTAAAAAAAGTGTTAGAGAGGGGTACTTGCAGCATTCCAATCTATACAAAAGCAGAAACAATACCAACTTGTGCTATTTAACTGGAGGTTTTGCTCCCCTTCAGCTGCATACACAAAGGCACTGCCTCAGAAAACCCTGGCCAGGTCCATCATTTATGTATTTAGGAAATATCAATTTTTCTCCTTTTCCTATTCTCAAAGGTCACTGTACAACCAACATTTCCGCAGAGGTGTTTAGATGCTGTCAACATTTGCACTCCCTGACTGATTGAAGTCAATCATTAAGGATAGCAGGATGCTGCAATCCCAGGATACAATGACCAATCAAAACTAGGTCCTGTTCATCTAAGGCAATTCAGCATATGGCAGTGCTTGAGATAAACTACAGTAATCAGTCAGTCATGAAGACACCAAAAGACAAATCACCAATAGACACTCCCAAATTTTGTTGCTATACCTCAATGATTTCATCAGGTTGCAGGTCTACGAGGGGTTCCGCCGAGTGTTCCTTCCAGGATGGAACTACAAAGAAACAAGATTTAAGGAAAAAGAAGACCAGGTTTAAATGTCTGCTTTGAAACAGTTCACCACAGGACTTGGAGAAACTTAGCTCTCAGTCAGGACGGCTGATACTTTGTAGAATGGGACCTATTAAACATTGTTCAAACCACAATACTTCCTGCCTTTGATCACACAACTTAAAAAAAATGTCCCAGCCCACAAAAATCAGGAATGCTAGTGGGGGTGTCATCCTGTGCATCAATTTTACCTACCTCTTACTTGTTCAGCTACCTCAAGAGAATTCCAGCATTTGTTTCACTATCAAGTTCTAAAACTCAACATGTAACAAACAAGGTAGGAATATACCGCATCTTTGTTCTAGTGAAAACACAGCAAGCTTTCAAACTGAAAAAGGGTTCTGTTGGACTCACTCAGTCCGTTTGAATCAATGATTTAAAAATCACACAGGTAGCTGAAGGCTGGGAAGCATCACTCTAGTTGTGCGCACCAGTACATTACATAGAACTCTATCTTTCCCAAAGCAGGAAAGAGAATTGGATTCCAGCTTGCATGGCTCTGAAAAATCAAGTTGCTGTGAGAGATGGGCCAATTCTGCATATCTGGAAACAATGCACAAATAACAGCAATAAAAACAAACCGCTGGAGAAATTCAGCAGGCCTGACAGCATTAGTGGAGAGAAAGCAGAGCTAAAGTTGTGTCCAGTGACTTCAGAGTCTGAAGAAGTGCCACCAGACTCTAAACGTTAACTCTATTTCGCTCTACACAGATGCTGCTGGACCTGCTTAGTTTCTCCAGCAATTTCTGTTTTTGTTTCAGAACTTCAGTCCACTGTTCTTTATTTTATACACAAACAACAGCAAATGCTTTTCTATTTTCTTATGGGATTTGCAGTTCAGCAGTTCTCTCTGCAGCTGCCCAGAAAGATAATGCTACAAACTTTGTAGTTGGTGGTTGGTGGAATAGCCAGATCTGCCCAACATTCTCTGCCTGGGACACAGACATTTATGAATCTGGATGCTTTCTGCATAGGCAAGCAAACTATTTTAAAACATTGCTTCAGCTCATCCAACAGCACAATGAATTTTTCTCCATAGAGCAACTCATAGCAACAAGGCTGTAAGCTCAAACCTCCAGCTTTGCTGAATAGAAACGATCACTCTCAGGACAAAATCAGGCCGCAATACTGTAGGTTTGGGAGTAAGGGGAAAAAGGCAATTTGAAAAACTTAAAGTTGCCAATTATGGTAGCTATTCAGCAACACCTTACACTAGAGGTACACATGTGAAAGCCAACAGCTGACAGGACTTGTCTCAGCAATAAACCAGACAGCCACTGACAATCGCTGCACCCCATTTTTGAACACAGAATTCATTTGATGCACGACAGACTACTTGGGAAAGACCACCTGAATACGGTTTCAAAATCTTCAAAGACATAGAGAGAGAGGAATGAAAACACCGAAAGTGAGGTTATACCAAACAACCTTTGACACTTGAGCTAGAATCATGATTTCTACATCTTTAAGTACAGGACTAGACAGTTCTGTTACAACAACCTTTACACAATAAAGATAATGATAGACTGCAAGGCCTTTCTCTATTGCCTTGCATCTTATTAATTGGAGGAATTACATTGTGACAACTGACATACCTTTATGTTATAGTACATGTTGATGAAACAGATTAACAAACCATATCAGAAAACAAATCTGAACTATATCTCACCATTCTGTTCGGTAATGACTTTGGCAATACCTAAAACAAAATCCACCTACTTAAAACTTTGAATCTTCCCCCTCATTATCAGGCCATTTATTGAAGGTATTAAGGCCTCGAGATTGCCACACTCTTTATACTAACTTGCTACAGTTTCTTCCTTCTTTGGTGAAGGTTCTCGTAGAGGAGAGGGTGGCCGGTGATGCCACCGACACAGGTACATCTCAGTGGTGCAGAGGTATGGCTCCTCTTCTATGTCATTAGAAATAGACTGATCTTTGCTGGTGGGTAGACCTGGAGTCTTTAATATGGTTGAAGGTTTGTAGACACCCTCAGTCTGAGATTTGGATTTCTCTGGAGTTTCTTTACTTCGCAGTTCTCGCTTTGAAACTTTGTCGGGCAAGGGGCTGCTCGACACCTGTCGCAGCGGAGAAGATTTGACCAGTTTTGTCCGAACTCTTGAAAATTCAGCTGCAAGCTTCTTCACTGGTGCTTTTCTTTCTGTTGTTCCTAGTGTAGATTTCCTGAATACAATCAGAATTAGATTAGTTTTTATAAAACAGGCGACCAAGATCTATGCTGTACACAAATCTGTAAGTCAGGACGGTAACCAAAGACTTCTATTCTGTAGTCATTGCTGAGGAGGAGAAAGAAACTTCTATTTGCTCAAAGGGTCCGTTATAGCAATTATCCTTTATTGTCTTATAGTGAGATTGTGCAGTAAAAGGCCAATATGTGCCAATAGATTCAAGAGAGCGCAATGATGCTTTGCTTGGCCAAAGATAGAGTACTCCTCAGGGGTTCCAATGTTTATGCTGAGGGGAGAGAAGCAAGGGGTGAAAAGCACCAGAACAATGATCACTTGATGTACAAATGATAAAATGAAAGTGTGAATTTGTGTCACCTTTAATGCTTTCCACATTTTAATTTGGGACCAACTGGCAAGAATCTGCATCAATAACAATAGGCTATTAGCATTGTTAATGAGATCCCTTATTCTCCCCTGCCTTGGATCAGGCAGTGAATGTCTAGTGGTAGTAGGAACTGCCGATGCTGAAGAATCTGAGATAACGAGGTGTAGAGCTGGATGAACACAGCAGGCCAAGCA